ATTGTGACACACACACACACACACACACCCCTCTGCCCCTCCCAGGCCTTTTGGCAGCCTCCTGGCATTGGGGGGCTTTTCCGCCAAGGACCCCTTCAAGGCTGGACTGCAGTTCTGGGCAGGAGGCAGTCTTGCTCTTCTTGCTCAGCCTCCTTCCCTCTCTTCTCCCCTCCTTTCTTTTAGATTCACAGAATCATAGAATTGGGCCACCCAGTCCAACCCTATTCTGCCCTGCAGGAGATGGCCATCCACTCTCTCTTTAAAACCTCCAAAGAAGGAGACTACCAGCCTCTGGGGGAGGAGTGTCTTCCATTGTCCAGCACCTCTTACTGTCAGGAGGTTCCTCCTAAAGTTGAGCTGGAATCTCTTTTCCTGGAGCTTGAATCCATTGCTCCATGCCTGGAGGGGCAGAAAACAAGCTTACTCCATCCTCAACATGACATCCCTTCAAATAGTTCAACAAGGCCACCATGTCCATGCTGGGAGCCATTATATGGTGCCGTGGTTTGAGTGTTGAACCATAGACTCTGGGGACCAGGGTTTGAATCCCAGCTGAGCCATGAAACCCACTGGCTGACCTTGGGCAAGTAACACTCTCTCACCCTCAGGGGAAGGCAGTGACAAACCTCCTCTGAAGAAACATGCCAAGAAAAACCCAAGCCTTAGGGTGGCCATAAGTCAGAAATGACCTGAAGACACCCAACATGTGCACATGTTAACCTTCTCTTGTCCAGGCTAAGCATACCCATTTCTACCCTCCCTGTCCTTCTCAATCACTCTTCATAAGCTCAGCATCATGAACTTCTCCAATAAATGCCATCTTCAGGGCTACACTGCACTCTCTGCTGCTATGACTCTTTTCTTCCTCCCATTACTCCTCCCCTTCTTTTTTCTCTGCAACTCACCGAAGAAGAAGGTATGACTTTGATGGCCCCCTCCCTCTGGGACATTTGCTGTTGTTGTTGTTGTTGTGTTCCTTCCAGTCATCTCTGACTTGGCCCCATTTCCTTCCCTTGCAGCAGCAGTGACTGACAACTTATATATACTGTACATGGTAGATCAGGCTTCTCCCTCTGAATGTTTATGGAGCTGACCAAGGTGCTGAACCAAAGGGCTGAACCTGGGAAGTGTTCCAGCACCCTGGAGAGAGACCTTAGGATTTGGGTTGGAGTGCCTGCAGGTAGCATAGTGGTTTAAGTGGTGACTATGACCCTGGAGACCAGGGTTCGATTCCCAGCTTGGCCATGAAACCCACAAAATGCCCCCCACGAACAAATCTGGCCATTAGAACCCTTAGGATCACCATAAGTTGGAAATGACTTGAAGGCACACAACACACACACACACGCACATGAAACAGGGAGACTTGTAGAGCTCCACTTACACAGCCCTGAACAGATTGCAAATGGATTGTACAACCTACCAAAAAGTACAACTGCACATATAAAGGAACTTAGCATGTACACGTCATTCAATGGATTCCAGCTATGACCAACCTAGGGTTGGAAGAGGTTCATCTTAGGTCATCATCAGTTGGAAATGACTTGAAGGCACACAACAACAACAAGCTTTCACTACTCCACTTGCTTTGCACGAATAGAGGTGGGACTGCACTCCTTCTCCCTTACAATCCTCACTGCTACTAATTTGGAACACTGTCTGGTGGAAGTCAGTTTGTAGACCTCACAAAATGCTTCTCATCACTCACATAGACTTGTCTGGGTTGGTTTGGTTTGGTAGTCTTTTTTTTCTTTTCTTTTTTCTTTTCATTTAATATTTATTAAAAACATATATAAACATATGTAAACATAAACATTAAACATACATACATCTTGAAATAACATAACTAATCTAACAACATAACACAACATCACAAAAGTTAACATAACATAACATAAACTTCCATAGTTCTTCGACAGTATGTACAGGTTTATTTCAGCTTATCACATCTCCTACTTCTTCTTTTTTTTTACCCCCTTTCTATTAGCTCTCATTATTCTACTTCTCCTTTTGGTCATTTTATTCATTTTAATAAAACCTATTTTTTTCCTTCATTTGTTATACCTTCTTTATTTCTTCACTTTTTAACTTTGCTGTTTCATCCCTACATCGCTTTAATATAGTCATCGATTGGAGCCCATTCTCTTTCCACTTTAGTAATGTCTTTTTGA